CTTGCTGGAACCACGTATTCCGGTTACAGTATGGACTATTCTGTAATTCTAGTCTAAAAAATCACTGGTCATCTCAGTATATCTCTTGGAATTTACTGTTACAATTTGGCCACGTTCATTTTCGAAGAAATAAGGCCCTATTATGGCAGACGCAGATATTGCACACCATACTGTGACTTTTGGTTTGTGTAAAGGCTCTTCATGCAATTTTCTCGGGTTGGAAATATCCCAATAACGAAAATTTTGTTTATTTACATATCCTCCGATATGGAAATGAGCTTCGTCACTGAAGAATATGTTACCCATCCGAGTAGCAGTTTTAAATCTCAACAACATCGTCTCTGCGTAAGTTTTCCTTAATTCAAAGTCAGATTCGAGTAAATCTTGGACGATTTGGATCTTATAAGGATGTAATTTAAGTTTTTTTTCGCATTATTACCTGTAAAGTTGATTTACTAATACCCAAAATCGATGAACGTGCTTGAAGTGATAAACGAGGATTTTCAACCACAGAAGCCATAACACGTTCGACATTTTCGTCCGTGGCTACCGTTGGTGTTGGTCCTGGTCTGGGTCTATTTATTGTTGATCCCGTTGCTCTAAACCTTGCTACCCAAGACTGAATCAGGTTGATTGATGGTCCATCACGAACTCGACGAATACCGTAGTGATTATTAAATCGACGACGGGCTTCAGACAGCGAAAATCTACTGGAAAAGTACACCTCGACGACAAAAGCGCGGTGCTCTCCACTCCACGGATCCATGGCTACTACAAAATCCGCATCGCTTGCACGTCGAATCCGCTCCGCGCCGTTCTCCTACGTTGCGTTCGAAAATTAAGTCTGTTCAAAGTTTGAAATCTGCCACTGGACAGCCTGTATTTTCCTCAAGGGGTTGTGCGGAGCTTTGGAATATATTCCTAAGTCACAATGATAAAACTTTTAGCGTAGTTAGGTATCGTTATTGAGTAATGCTCCTGAAGCGTCACTAGATGCTATGAGGCGCGCGATTTAGTGTACCAGGATAGTATAAATTCCATAGTATTTGATACACGCAACGCTTGATGTCCGATTCATGCTTGAAGCTCGATGACTGTGCCGAGGGCTTGATAGTGTGGTTCATTACCTACTGCGTTACTCGTAGAGAAGAGGAACTCGTAGTTAAGTAACAGTTGCGTAGATCAATAGATCTGCAAGATAAAGATGCACTTGCTGCGGTCGGTCCATGTGTGGGTGACCATTTTCTTAACATACTGCGATTGAGAGAAAAGAAGAGTGCATCTGTATCCTCGGACACTTGGTGCACTTTAATGTCTCCAGCGTATTTGACTTGCCTATGTTAAGAACGTTATATTTTTTAAATTCATGCAGAAAAAATGATAATAAATTTATTATTACTTTATAGTTTTCAGGGACAGATGAAAGAAAGAGTAGCCTCATCATATATCACTCGTGACGTAACCCCTCCACCTTTGAAATCACAAGAAAGAAGTGATCAATTTACACCAAGAAAAAAAACTTTTATCAAAAATCGAGAAATTTAAACAAAAGCTGAAAGAAAAACAAAATAAAATACGTAGCTTAGCAGCAAAAACTAAAAGACAGGCTAAAATAATTGTTACATCGCTAAACATGCTTGAAGAAATTCATTCAAGACCAGGATTGAAAGATTTTAATTAACAGGGTTAATGATAAAAAAATGTGGTAAAATAGTGTCTGCATCCAAATATAACGAAGAATTACGAAAATTTGCTGTCACAATATATTTCTATAGTCCAAGAGCACATAATTATTTACGTGAAAAATTTTATTTGTGTCTTCAACACGTAAACACATTGTGTACCTGGTAGGCCAGACTAGACTGTGCACCTAGTTTCACTCAAGAATCTTTAAACACCAATAGAGAAATGAGAAAAAAGAAGCCTGATCTAAAACTATGCCTCACTTTTGATGAAATGAGTATACGTGAATACACTGAATGGGTAGGCCAGACGCGTTATAGACAAAGTTTCATGATGCATCAAACACTTCTTAAAAAATGCGTCATGAGCTCTCGGACCAATATAGGCGTTCACTGCTGGTTTCTCTCGAATCTCATCGGGCGGCTAGAGTTTATGCGGTCGTTCGCGCTCCGAGCAGAGTGTTCAATACTTTAATTTTTAACCTATGCGTCCAAATAACATGCTATAAAGAGCAAAGTTTATCTTCATAAAATTGTTTTGATGATGAAGTAACTTTCATTCGTAATGGTTTATATGCCATGCCTAATAATAACGCTCATAAATCACTTTTTCATTTTCAATATTTTTTTCACAAAAAACTTATTGTGGCTTATGTATACGAAATAAGCATGTAGCGGGTGGAAGGAAAAGGGGAGATCTCCCACCGGGCAATGTGTTCTGCCCGGCGAGCGGCCAATGCTCCGATTAGTAGTTCGGAGCTATTCTATATATGCTGCTTTAACTTCGGAACTTTCTTAGTGCGCCAGCGCCGCCACATCACCCCCCTGCTCAGACTGAAGGTCGATAGTGCAGTCCGATTGCAAGTGCCAGGGGTTGCCTTGTAGTCTGCGGTGAGTCGAGAAGAAGGCAAGTAATCTGCGAGAGTGTCGTGAAGCAGAGGCAGGCAGTAAGGCTCAGAGCCGTGCCGAACACTGTAACGCAGAGAGTAGCTTGAAGGAACAGGAAACATTATTATTCCAGTACTGTGATGAACCTTTGTAAAGCTAGATGGCTTGCAGAATGTGAAGACTGCAGACAATATCTGCTCGGGAGCGAATGAATGGGGTACTTGAGGATGATGACGAAGGTTTTGAAGTTGTAGTATCCGAAGGTTGTTTGTTGCGTGCTCATACCACGTCGGGGTCACCACTGTGGCGGGTGGAAGGAAAAGGGGAGATCTCCCGCCGGGCAAGGTGTTCTGCCCGGGGAGCGGCCAACGCTCTGATTGGTAGTTCAGAGCTATTCTATATAGGCTACTTTAACTTCGGAACTTTGTTAGTGCGATTTAGGCTTCGATATGTTTCGCTTGTGGCGCGACGACAGCGCCGCCACAGGCATATGGTATCGCAGATTTTTTTTTAGATGGAGCAAAGACCAATATTTTTGTAGAACATCGTATTTATGTAATACTAAATGTTACGCTAGCGCACGTAGATAAAGCAGTTAGAGAGCGCCTTTTCTTCTGACTTGCTTAACAAAAATCAATATATAAGGTTAGCTGATAGTTATAAGCTAGATAGCCTATACTATTCCTCATGAATCTGGCTATTATATACAAAAATTTTAAATTTGATCTGGTAGCTCCAGAGATTAGCGTGTTTAAACAAATAAAAAAAAAACAAAATAACTCTTCCACTTTATTATATTAGTATAGATTAAATGATTTTGTTTTTTTTGTTTCTGTTTCCGATTCTGTTTTATAAATATTAAAGGTAATAATTATATAAAAAATAAAGCAGCCATAATATACTCCGTGTCCTCGTTTTTTATTTTACCAGCAAAACATTTTATAAAATATAAATAGGTAGATACTTAATTAAGTTTATATTCTTTATTTATATTTGATTAACATTATGTTGAAAAAGAAATAAATTCAGAGGAAATTGTAAATGGCATTAAACATTTTTCTCCAAAGGTCAAAAATATAACTTTACGATCTGATTGTTGGAGAAAATTGTTTCATTTCATCGGTAGACTTACCTCGCCTCTTCAGATATTATTGCAATTTTGTACATTTTAATTAAAGTCCAATAAAAGGCAAGTGGTGTCGGTGAAAGAATTTCCACTACCCAGTATCGTCCCATGTGTGTCATAAAAGGCGACAAAAGGAAACAGAAAGAGGCGATGGGCAGCAGCATCTTCCTGATAACAACTCGAAATAATAAAAACTGTGGTTGACAACCCGCTGGCCAAGGGATGGCAAATTTCCCCCATATGAGGCAATTTATAGGGAGGCCCATGTTGAGCAGTGGATTTTTATAGGCTGTAATGGATTATGGATGATGGAAAAGGCAAGTAGGTGCAGCTTGTTCCCGCTAACATGTTATTTGAATATTTTTAGTTATTTTAAAACTATCATGGTAAAAATTTAGTTAATTTTTAATAAAATAGTTTAGTGCTCAAAAGTTATTCAGTTCTGTGCACTAAACTAGTTTTTTTGTCTTTATACCGATTTCTGAACAAAAATTCTCGATAGCCCTTTTAAGTAAAATGTACATCACTAGCCAACTCACACAATAACAAATCAAAATTGGTCACGCGTTTTCGGGCTGTCAGGTCGTCTATACGCCAGTAATAGTCTATGGTATTAAACTCTGGAGTATGGAGTGTAGAGAGAAGGAGGACCATCTCTAAATATGAAGTGTCCCTAAAAATGTGTCTAATAAGGGTGGCGCTGCAGTAGCATAGGATAAATTAAAAAAAGCCCCAAAAGTAATTAGAATAGGATGGAGAAATAAACAAGGACCAACCAATCCGCTTGGTTTTGTACTACGTAAATAGTTGAGATTTTGTATACTGTCATTTTACTAACTACTCTAATCACGAAATTTTTTAAATATTTGAATTCAGCTAACTTCACTCCGTTCACAACAGCTATCTTCATATCGTAGTTTTTCAGACGCCAGCGCTATTATGGTAGGTTTTGGAACCTCTATTTTCAGTAAATAGTAGGACACTTTTTCAACTTTCGCCCCTTATAAGATGGTTCTCCTTGTACTCTACACTCCATACTCTGGAGTATATACTATATCTATGGGAGTAACAACTCGTAGATAGAGGATTGACCAGTCTATGGAACAAGGAACAACTACAATTCTCTGGTAACAAGTAACAACAACAACAACTGATTGTCAAATGTCAAACTCAAGTGTCAACAAAGGAACAGCGATAGGTTATCTTTTATGCGGCTTTAAAAATAAAGCGATGAAACTGTGAGAAATTACAAAACAAGAATTTTAAGTTATTCGCTACACATAAGGAAAACATTACAAAGCGGTATGGCTTTAATGAAATCAGATCAAGTCCCTGAAGATGCTGTTGCACTAAGTGAAATCGAAGCTACAACCTACATGTGGGATTTGGTTAACAACTGGGAATCGCTTTCAGAAACGTAAGTAAGAGCTACTTGGGTAAAAAATTCTATAATTACTAAAATCAGTGGTATATAAAGATCGTAAGTATTCATAGCATAATTACTTTATAATTAGTTTTGTAAAGAATTTAACTTTCATTCATATTTCTACTATAATATAGAAGAACCTTAATATTTATTACTTATTTTGAAAATGTAGGATTTTTTGCTGTAATTTGTAGACGTTTTACATACATAAATTGCACATGGGCACACATCTTGACTGAAAAATTATTATAGGCTATACTATCACTTGTTCTGTATGGGATTCGAACCTACAGCCCACAACTCAATGGTTAGCTACTGTGCTACCAATCCTTTTAGAAAATATTTTGTTACTTATCTTTCCTTATATATTGACCAAATAAAATTTATAGTAACACAATTTAAATATAGGTATCAATTGTCAATATAAAAAAATGAATTTGCTGTTTCATATGCATATAGATGAATATATTTAAAGGCAGACACATTTTTGTGGATGAGGTTTTTGAGGTTCAGCAATTAACATTCTAGAATATGTATCAGTGTTTATTATGTACTGTAATATTTACCCTTACCGTTACAGCCTATTAAAGTCCACTGCTGAACATAGGCCTCCCCTATATATTGCCTCATAGAGGGGATATTTGCCATAGTTGCCACACTTGGCAAGAAGGTTCACAACTTTATTTTTGTATTTTTTGTTGTTATTAGGAAGATGCTGCTACCCTTCTGAAACTTTCCCCTCTGTGACCTCTTAAAACACCCACGGGATGATATGGGGTAGCGGATATTCTTCCGCCACTACACTGTACACACTGCCACTACTCTGTACACTTAGGTTGTGTTATCTGGTACCATATAATATATTAATAATAATATGTGTTGCTATATAAATTGATATTTTTATTGTACACTATTCACTGAAGGATTCCTTTTCTGTCTGGGAGTTTGTCTGAGTGGGTACCCCCCTCTTACCTATTTCTGCCACTAAACAGCAGTACTTGCATCACCATGTTACAGTCGGAAGGGTATAGACAGTGAGTTATAAGCTATAAGGCCATCTTAGTCCTCAGAGGTAACAACACATAATAACTAACCTTCTTTGGTTTAAATTTGTTGAGGATATACATGGGCTGCAATAGCCACTTACCATCCAGGTGAACTGTTGGTTTGTTTGTCACTTAAATTTTATCAAAAAAAAAATATACATACTTCTTTACATGGTAGAGCCATGCTGCAGCTAAATTACTGATATAGTTGTAACACGAATGGGTCAGCTCGACCGGAGAAGGACCACTCTGTCACAGAATACCAGCGTAAAATGGCAGCTAGACACTGCTGTGTTTCATATGGTGAGTGTAAAGAACTGAAGACCCGTTTTACTGGAAAGAAGGCATTACATCTTAGTCCTCACGGGTGACGACTCATCTGCATTTTGATTCGTCATTGAGGACAAATGTAGATGTCTATGGGTCACAGCAACCACTTACCATCAGGTGGACTGTGTGCTCGTGTATCACCCTCATCCTATAAAATAAAATATGATGAATTTTATGGAATATTTAACAAACCCTGTTTAAAATAATTATGAAGTTCCATTTACCACTGAGATTGTTAGTTATAATATAATATAATATTGAATTGCTGCATAATATTTGTAGTTATTCAACACATAAAACTTTATTTTACTTATAGTTGTTACTAAAAAGGTATAGTGAAAGCAGATTAAATGAAGTGTGAAAATCATGTCATAATAAAATGCTGAAGCATTTATTTTATTACATTACAGCCTACCAAAAGTCCACGGCTGAAAACATAATCCTCCTCCATAGATTACCTCTTAGGGGGATATTTACTGTCGTTGCCACGCTTGTCAGGCAGGTTTTAGGATATTGAATTATTATCAGGAAGATGATGATACCCATCTCGTTTCATTTATCTTTATCACCTCTTAGGACACCCAAGGATGATATGGGGTAGTGGACATTCTTGCACCACCAGTACACAGTGTAAAATAATTCATATTGAATAAAACTAACCTTAATATGTGTCATAGTCAAACTGAAAACCATACACAGAGAGAATTCTCCATTGTGTTATATGTACTACGTACTAGAGAAGCCATTCCGAACATTGACTATGTTCAACTGAACTGTAGTGCAGTCCATAAAAACTAAATATTGCGTAAATTGAAGATTTGTGAATTCCATAAAATAATTATTATTACATTTTATTTAGAAATATGTTTGTTTAGATTAAATTAAGATATTTTATATTAAATTCTTCTATTTTTTTTTATTTAATGATATATAAAACATATTACAATAGTGCATAGTTACTATACAGCACCATTAAACTGCAAAACGGTTTGTATTGGTGCTTGCAGACGTCTATACGCATAAATATATTATTTTTAATAACTACCATCGTATAATTGATAAAGTTAAGCATGATAACAACTAACAACCTATTCATTGTATTAGTGACATTTTTTTTTTTTATAGGAGAGGGGGCAAACGAGCATGCAGCTCACCTGATGGTAAGTGACTACCGCCGCCCATGAACAACCGCAACACCAGGGGAATTGCAGATGCGTTGCCGGCCTTTTAAAAAGGAGTAGGCTCTTTTCTTGAAGGTCCCTAAGTCGTATCGGTCCGGAAAAATCGCTGGTGGTAAACTATTCCACAAGGAAGTTGTGCGAGGAAGAAAACATCTTCTAAATCGCACAGTGGTGGACCGCCAATCATCCAGATGGTGTGGATGGTATCGGGAGTTCTGCCGCGATGTGCGTTCGTGAAATTTGGCGGCTGGGATTAATCCGAACAATTCCTCAGAGCACTCCCCATGGTAAATGCGAAAGAAAATGCTAAGAGATGCAACATCTCTTCGCAGTGCCAATGAGTCGAGCCGATCGGAAAGGACTCGGTCATCGACGATTCGAGCCGCTCTGCGCTGGATGCGGTCAAGTGGAAGAAGCTGGCACTGGGGAGCCCCAGCCCAGAGATGGGAACAGTATTCCATGTGAGGCCGAACCTGCGCCTTGTAAAGTTGCAGGCGTTGAGCCGGCATGAAATACTGTCCTGCTCTGCTGAGCACGCCAAGCTTTTTAGAGGCGAGCATGACGACAAACAGGTTTCGCTAGTTTACCGCGATGAGCGTGTACAGTATACCATACATATACAGGCTGATTTCTATAGCAAATTTTTTTTTAAATAATTATTTAATAAAATAATTTTATATATACCTATATATATATATATATATACACACATACACACACACACATATATATACATATGTATATATATATATACATATAGATTTAATATCATTTGAGAATTTATTAAGGAAGACAATTCAGGTTTTCTAGTACATAATGCTTAATTTTATATTTTAAGTTTTTTTCTGTCAATTCGTCCTTAAGGTTTTCTGGAAGATCGTTTAGAATAGAAGCTTTGATTTTATTTTTGCTACAGATTTTTTATTACTTTGTCGCGTTCTATCAGAAAATTTTACCATTTTTAATGAAGGAATCGTATTAAAATCTTCAATCATGATATGACATTCAAGTTTTTTATTTATAGGTATGACGTTACATTATTTAAAAAGTCCAATATAGTTATTTTCTTTATATTTTTCTTTTACCTTGTCATCTACAATGAGCTTTAAGAATTTTAGTTGTAAATTAAAGATCCTTCTTATGTATGTTTTGAATGTACGACCATAACTTGTCATTCCATATGATATTATCGAATCTACTAGTGCATGGTACATTGATAGTAGTACTGAATATGGTACTTTATTCTTGATAATATAGAATATTGCAAGCAATGACCTTAGCTCATTATAAATCATATCAATATGAGGACCCCAGTTAAATCTGTTGTCTATGATTAAGCCTAGGTATTTTTGATTTGTAACTTGTTCTTATGGAGTGTAGAGTAGAAGGAGGACCATCTCTATATATGAAAAGTGTCCCTAAAAACGTGTCCAATAAGGGTGGCGCTGCAGTAGCATAGGATAAATTAAAAAAAAAGCACCAAAAGTAATTAGAATAAGGTGGAGAAATAAACAAGGACCGACCAATCCGCTTGGTTTTGTACTACGTAAATAGTTGAGATTTTGTATACTGCCATTTTAGTAACTACTCTAATCATGATTTTTTTTTAATATTTGAATTCAGCTGACTTCACTCCGTTCACAACAGCTATCTTCATATCGTAGTTTTTCAGACGCCAGTGCTATTGTGGTAAGTTTTGAAACCTCTGTTTTCAGTAAATAGTAGGACACTTTTTCAACTTTCACCCCTTATAAGATGGTTCTCCTTGTACTCTACACTCCATACTTGTTCTATAGGTGGACATATGCATTTTTGAATAAGGCCATGCATACATTCATGTGTATGCACAGTTATTGATATTGGACCATTGATTTAAGAGCGTTATATCGTCTTGAAGTGTTTTTTGAGCGACGGCGATTTCATTTATTTTATATTAATATCTTATTTTATATCAAATTAAAGTCTTCGCTCATGCGTGACTACTACTACCGCGCATGCGCGAAGACATAGAGTAGGACACAATTTTTGTTTGGAATGGCTTCTCTAGTACGTAGTACATATAACTCAATGGAATTCTCTCTTTCTATGCTGACAACTAACAATGACAGTTGTAGAATTGTGAATGACAATGTCATGATTGTCAACCAACTTTAATTTTCAATTTCTCATGTTTATGTTTCTAGTACGCTTTAAAAATAATATTAAAATTTCACATGTCATCTTCCCGTGTGTCATGCCATTGAAGTAATATGTAGTTATACTAGAACAGCTATTTCAAACAAAAAATGTGCACTACTCATGTCTTCACGCACGCACAGGGAAGAGTAGTGTGGCGCATGTTTGTTTGGTTTTTATCATAGATTATTATTTCGTCACATTATTCGAAGATATAGATGTTATATATATGTATTTTATATACATATATAAGTTTAAC